ATCTTGCTTACTAACTGCTCCAAAAGAATGTGCTCTCAACCTCACAATAATTGCTCTTTTGAAATTTATGTGCAACTAACAATAATGGAGATATTAACATATTTATAGACAAGCATGGGAAACCCTAATTATGAAGAGTTAGGCCCATCTATAATTAGCACATGATGGGGATCCCATAATTTCTAACCAATCACAGAATGTCATGCGGGAAACCCTAATTATAATGGGTCAGGACCATCTATAATTTACATTTTCCAGAAATCGAAATCGTGCCCATTGAATTTGTCAATCTTAACTCTCCCATCTTTAGCCATAATTATGATACCAGTTTGTTGGTTGCAACAAAACAAGTTAAGCACTTCAGACAAATATCAAAACAAACTTCGGTGAACTTGTGGAAATAAAACTTTTGAAAAACGTAAATCAAGTGAACACGATATTTAACGTGGTTCAGTCAAGGTGACCTACATCCACGGGCGAACGAGAGAGATAGGATTTTATTAACTTCCAAGAACAATTACAATCACACACAAAGGTTACATCTCGTTTAAGCTCTCAAAACAAAAGAATCTCTATTGCTTACTAACTACTCTAAAAAGATGTGCTATCTACCACACAATGTTTACTTTCTTGAAATTTCTGTGAAACTAACAATTATGGAGATATTAACCTATTTATAGACAATCATGTGAAACCCTAATTATGATTGGGTCAGGCCCATCCATAATTAGCCCATAATGGGGATGCCCTAATTTCATCAAGGAACCAAAATGGCCGAACATAATGCTTGATGGTGCAACATGTTGCTAGTTGACCATCACCAAAACCAAATGGCGCAACATGTTGTCAGTTGACAATCACCATAAAACAAATGGCGCAACTTGTGCACAAGTTGCTCCATTTCACTCCCAAGTGCTCCAGACCCTCTTTCAGACGATCCGTTCCTTTGGCACTTGATATGTTCCTTTGTCATATGATTCATTCCTTTCTCAAACGATCTGTTCTTTTGTTACATGCTACGTGAATCTCAAGTGCTCCATTGAGTTCCAAGTTGCTCCATGGCAACTCTAAGTACTTGATTCTAAGTGCTCCATGTTGGACAAGACGTCATACGCCAACAGTTTTGTTTGATGTTCTTTGAGAAAAGATTTTTGCATAGTAATATTAACTGAAGAATTAAATATATCTGGAAGAACCAAAAATAATGAATATATACAATGAACGATCCTTTGGTAATGAAAATGACCTCCAAACCCTTGTTTTCCCAAGATCAATCTAGTTTATCTGATTGTACACTCCACTCCTTCAAAATCATTTAAGTTATTTATTTAATGTAAAATACAATTATGATATAACTGATACATATTTATAAATAACAAGATGATTTGAATGTAAAAAAAATTTAAAAAAAATGTTTTGTATTCATACAGAAAAGTGGTTTTTAAATGAAAAAAATAAATTTATACAGTTTCAAATATTTACATGGTTTCAATTGGAAAATGGTAACATTGAACGAAATATAAAAAATGATGTTCAATTTAGAACAAAAAAATAGGATGTCAAAATTAAAAAATAAAATAAAAACTTAGTGTCAAAATTAAAAAAGTAAAATCATTGTCTTTTGTGAAATAAAAATCAATTTTGACACATCAACCTACAATGTACATCAACAAGCAACTAGATTGACCCAATAAATAGTCAGAATTATAACAAATTTAAAAACACCATCAATATTGAGACAAAAAAAAAACAACGTCAATTTAGAAATATAGTGTAAACTTAATGACTTTTGTACTAAAATAACAATACTAAATCATTTTTCTTCTTAATAAATGAATCCTTTTTTGACACGTGTCCTTTTCTTATGATTTCCTCAGTTATTGTTAAAATACCAAAATACCCTTTACTTCTTCAAAACCGTAATGCCTTATGATCTCCAGAAATCTCGCTAAATACATTAATCAGTAATCACCTATCTTTTTTTTCTCTATTTTCTATCTTAAACCCTAATCCTCCTCCCCTTTCCATCGGTTAACCCGCAGCAAGCTCCTATTCGATTTCAGCAGCAACATCAGGTTAGAGCTTTTCCTCACCTACTTATTTCCTCTCAAAATTTCTCATCAAGACTTCGTGAGTTGGGTATTTTCTCTGTATGATGATAACTACGATTTTGGAATTGTAGATAGTCTATGTTGCGGCTTTCAGGTTAATCAAACCGAGGACTTCGAATTTAGGGATTTTTGTCTTTTGCATTCATTAATATTGATTTTCAGTTTATTTGATGACAGACAAAAGAGTATAAATCATATATCAAACATCTGTGATAAAATCAAATCCGAAGCTTGCACCTAATTCTGCAATGTTTTCTCCATCAAAATCCTATGGAGCGGTTGTTCTTTGTGGCACCTTTGACCGCCTACATGATGCTTATTGTATTCTGCTTAAGGTTCTTTTACCCATATTTATTTATCTCCATATAACATACAAGCATATACTCATTCTCCTTATGAGATTTTGGTTAATTTCTTTTAGACGTAAAATGTTAATTACAGGCAGCTACAAAGTAGCTGCCAGGGATCAAACAATAGTTGGCGTTTGAGTGGACCTATGGTTTTCAAGAGAATAGGTTTAAACCTTGCTCCTTCCTTTACAATCTGTTTCCATTATGTGGCTTGTGAAAGTATGTTTCCATAACTGCATCTGTAGTTTATGATTGATATGGAAGGAATTGAGTTCCATTGTTTATTTTATTTTAAAAGACCAAAATTTCTTTATCATATATACTTACGTAAATAAAAACAATTCAGTTATTTAAATTTATGACAAACAACACTAAGTAGATATGAATGAAATTTTATAAATTATTTAATTTCTTCAAATGCACGGCAGATTATGATTGTCCAATTCCTTTAATAGACTCCACTTCTTACAAAAACCATTTCTCTTAATATAAATATTAAAACGAGGATCATTCATAGAAAGTTTCAACATAATAAGCAGGGGCGTCTGGATGATAGTGGGGCTGCAACTATGAGAGCTATAATGGATTGGCAGTATTAACATAAGGAGATAAAAAGTTTACTTTCATGTGTATTGTGAAAATTTCAATTCACAAAAAGTTGTTCAACTTATTATCAATTTGCCGAATACTATTTTTTGATCAAATTCTTAAAGTTATTAGAGTAATCTTGGTTGCTAGAAAGTTAATACTAAAGTGAGTTCAATTGTGTGTGTTTGATGTAATTCCAAATGTTGATACAAGGAGATATTCAATCTGTTTCACATGCACAGTACATGATTAGCTATTAAAAGGTAAATTTTTGTTTTGCCTTGATTTTATGTTTTTCATGTGTGTTTGAGTATTATAGATTAAATCTCAATGTTGCTTTATTACAATTTAGTTCTTCAACATCTTTTAATATTCAAGTTTATATGAAAGAACAGTATACCCAAAAGGTACAATTTATTTCATTTCTTAAAACAAATCTTGATGTTTGCTCTTGAATAGTTGAAGAAAAAAAATATTGATGTTTGTTTATAAATATGCAGATAGTGGTGGTGGTTGTCGCCTATCTTGTGCTGATGAGAGCATAAGTCATCTTGTGGGGCCTCAATATGACCACACAATATTTGTGAATCATAAAAAGTTAAAGATAAATTGGCACAATATGGTTTAGAGCTATGGAAATATGCAAATCTGTTTCACTTAGTAACTTTCTTAGACAACATGGGAATTTAGTTTCTGTTTGTTTTCACCAAGGTTTTTTTTTTTTTTTGTAAATTACTAAAATTTCCTTTTTCTCTTGAAAATTCAAGATTTAACCCTTTTAACTGTATAGAAAGGATTATACATCAAAAGTCTACCCAATTAATATTATTGTATTTCATTATTTCAATTTTTTCTTATTAGGACATGATACCTTGAAAATTTATCCCATATAAAACAAGAAATTTGCTTTGTATTTTGATGAAATTTCTATAATCGAATTGATTTAAAAAAACAAATACAAAGTAGATAAATGAGCAAAGTAGATAAATGAAGTGAATGGTATTAATAGCTTCCGGTATAAGATTATTAATTAGTTGACATGGTTTTGTGATAATGTTAAAAGAATATAAGTACATCCAAGAGTAAATTACTTTTTTGGTCTCTTAGTTTTGCATATATTTGCAATTATGGTCATAAAATTTTATATCTTATAATTTCCTCCTTATTTTGATGCTTCATAATGGTTTTGGTTTTTAGATGGTGTGGCTTGGTGGAAATGATATCTAATACATAAATCGGTTAAAAAAAATTAAACTTTTAACAACCAAACTGATATTATGATGATATTGTGATTTTTAGTATAATTTAAAATATATGTCAAAGGACCCTAAGATGAACCTCATTAAAATTGAATCCAATGACACCAAGTTTTATAGCAATAATTATAGTTCTCTATTGAACTTTTCCCTATATAAAAGTCCAACCAACATTTGTATCTTATTAATTTAATAAAATTTTATAAATCTTTTACCCGTGGTTTCCACGGGTTGTAACCTAATTTAGATAAAATATTAACTAGGAAGTAACAAAATAAAACAATATTAAATCATTAAAATAAATAGTAGCCAAAAATCAGCAAACATTTATACATCCTTACAAATTTGTAGAGATTGTGGTTGTATTATTTTAAACCCATATGTACTACAAAAACTTCAAAAGTGTTGATATTAAATAAATAAATAATGCTACAGTTATTAAACCAAATAATAACATCACATAAATCAAATCATTTAAAACTAATTAGTAATAATATAAGTAGGCACTTTTAAAATACAACTATTAAAATGTGTAAAAGTAGAACACAAATGAATCAAACCAAAAAGAAAGACATTATTTTATGACTTGAAATAACAACATTTTCATAAGATAGTATAAAGGAAACTTTAAGTAAAAATGGATTAAAAGCAAAAGAAGAACAAGAATAAAACGGTTTTTACTTGCTTGCATATGCATGGCATTTTTATTGCAATGACATTAAGATACCATAATAAAAATATAAAGTTTGTTTAAGCCTGTAAACTAGCAACTTAACTTCATTACAGATTGATTTGGACAACAGAATGAATAATCTACTGCACATAGTTTATATTTTATAACAGCTTCTACACCAATATAATTTTATTACTCCACAACCACCCTCACCCTGCACCTTCTCTTTTGAACCTTACAACTTATTTTCTCATCATCCAATAACTGCAAATTTCCCAATACAATTTTATTATTTTTTTCATTTAAATTATATTATGTTTCAGAGTGTAAATAAATAATATATATACATATATGTACCTGTTGGCTAAAGGAAAATGGAATTCTAACTCTCTTGGAACCATCAGCCATTCTCTTGCGAGAAAATCGGTCTTCTACAGGAGCAGAATCACTGGAAACCTGAGATTTATACAATCATAGAAGAGTTTAGTATTAACCAATACCATTAAATTTTTAAAATCAATTAATTTTATTTTTTATAGAATAAGCATAAAGGGTAGTTCACCTGAGTTTGAACTGCTTCGATTAATACATCTTCACAACCAATAGCATGCACACTTTCCAGTTTAGGGCATTGCAGTACTAATTTTTCTGTTATCAGACAATTGAAATTCAGTAAAAAGAGAAGATGCATCACACACATGCTATAGCTATTGAATTATATTAGACATTATAAAAGTTACCTGGATTCAGATTTTTACATGAGTTCAGGTTTAGATCATTGAGATTAGGGCAGCTTAGATACAAGGACTGCAAAAGTAAAGATAAAAGGTTCAATAACAAATTTTATGTAAAAATGAATAAAGTAAAAATGTTTAAAATGTTCTTACATCAAGACTAGAACAACCCCAAAGGCTGAGCTTTTTCAAACGGGCATGTTTTATAAATAACTTCTGATATAAAAGATGCAATTTGCTGTTTGGTGATATTTTTGAGTTTGTATCATTGTTTGAATGTTGTGTGTCTGACTCTGAATCACATATTGTCATCCCACAATCCATCAGTTCCAAAAGTGGCAACTGGGCTGTGGCAAACTGGATACCACCTGATTATACACAATTAAAATCAAAATCAAATGTTAATTGGTGTCAAATGCAAAAATCGATTATAGAAATATAAAGCAAGTGAATTAATTACTTGATGTGATGTTAGGGCATAGAGCAACAAGCAGTCTTGTTAGGGTTTCAGGAAATACATTGCATATCATCCCAATACCACTGTCACTTATGCTAGACCTGTAATTAACAGAAACTTATACAATCAGTGAATGAAAAAAAGATTGATACACTAATGGTATAAAAATACAAATGAAAACATACCCACTCAGGTCAAGCAATTCTAGGTTTGAGTATGATTTAGAAATTGCTACAACAGATGCATCGGTTATTTCTGATCCAAGAACAAATGATAACATACGCAAGCACCTAAAGTGACACCCATTATGGCAAGTTTTAGTATTTTTTTTACAGAGCCTGATTAGACATGATTATGAATTTTAAATTACTTGGTGTACCTTAAATTTGCAGCAGTGAGAGAAAGGACAACGGAATGGGAAAGTTTAAGGGAAGCAATGTGAATGTTTTGTAATTTAGGGCAGCTTCTTCCAAGCCCATCCATCATGGTAGTAAGATCAGTCGTATCTTTCTCTTGGCAGGAGAAATCAAGGGATATCTCGTTTAAATTGGGAAGATTGAAAACCTAATTGAGATCAAAAAAAAAGATGTTAATAACAGGGAATCTAATAAAAGGGTTTGTAGATTGTAATATGTAAGAGCGCTTTTGAAGATAAGTACCATTTTTGAAAGGGAATGAAGATCTGAAAGCCAAAGAGTGGAGAGAGTGGTGGAGCAGAGAACAAAGCTTGCAAGGTTAGAACACCCTTCCATCTTAAGACTTTTCAGACAACGCTTATCAGCAACAAAACGACCCAAATCGTCCCTAAAATCGTGCATACAAACAAAATCACATTCAGATGCAGATAGATTAAGGATGCGATGACTACAAAGCCAAATCTAATTGGGATTGCTTGCATATAGACAACAAGCTAAAAATGTTTTTAATACAATGCCACGAAAACTTTATTGTATCAGAAGACACGCTACAAATTATGTATGTATTAGACTTAGAAAGGCAGTGACTGCAAAACCAAATCTAAATGCGACAATTAATGCCTTTTTCCAGCATACACAACATTTTAACCTAACCAATGTGATTAAAAGTGCAGCTAAACTCAGTCAAATTAGTTCATTGAGAGGTAGAGTTTGCATAATCTTAAAAGATAAATCAACCATATTCTGAACCCGATACAGAATTATTTTCTGGGAGTAGTAGAATAAAAATAGATGAGTGCGTTTGTGAAAACATATTGTTTATAATATAAGAAAAAAGTTATCAAAGTATGATTATATATAGACATGTAACACAATCCAGCAGAATCCAAAGCAAAGGTACTAAAACCGTATAAACAAGTTGGGAAATATACCCAGTAATGCGATTGAATGAGCCTTCACACGTGAAGATCTCCAGAGATTCCAGATTCGGACAGGAAAAAGCAATGCAGGCCAACATAGTTGAATCCATGTCACTGCAAAATATAAATCACCTTACAAATCAACCAAAGTTTACCATTTTTCATTAGATTTTCTTTTTTATCTGCGAGATCTGAGTGTTCAACGTCGGTTTTTATCAAATTAATTAGTTTTTGAAAGGTCAATTTAACTAGTTTAAGAATCACCATTTTGTGTCCATTGACTGGTCACTCTGAGGTTCGTAATGTAATTGTTTAAAAACCTCCTTAAACGATCTGTTTAACGTCGTATAAAACTAAATAGTCCGATCGGATACCAAAATTCTAGATCTGAGATTATCGAACCTTTCCATCGTAAGTGATAATCTAACAAGAGCCGGACATTTCTGTAAAACCGATCCCACGCATCCAACTTGAGTCTTAGCGGGGACTTTAAGTCGAAGCTCTTCGGCAGCTTTCCAAAGCCGTCTAGAAACATCCAGCCATCCCTTACACACTTTTGCCGCCGATAGCAACGACGGCGGCGGCAACCTCCGCAACACCTCCCACAAGCAATTCACCGGCAACTCACCAGATCCAACATCCAACTCCACATCCGGCGAAAGGCACTCCTCCCCTCCCTCGTCGTCCGACTCCGGTAAATCGTGAACAACGATATTGTCAAACGACAAAGCTCGTCGAAGCTTAGAGCACCGCTGCTGGCGCCGATGCGGGCGAACAGCAGATAGCAGAGGTGAAGCCGGAATAGTGGGGGTGGCGGATGAGGTTGCAGAATCGGTCGGAGTTACAGCCGCTGAGTTTGAATCGGTGGTTGATAGCGGTGGTAGGTGACAGACGTGGCCTTTCTTCGGAAGACCACATCGGCCACAGTTGTAGTTGCCGCGTCGCTTTCCTTTTTTAGAAAAGAAATCATCGGAGAGATATCTGGCTCCGCCTGGAGTGACCGGATGGGGCTGGTGTCCGTGCATTTCGTCTAGGATTTGGATTTTAGAGATTTTAGAGAGAGGGGGGGAGAGATAGGTGGGAAAGTGGAGGGATTGAGTGGTAGAGGGAAATGGCGAAGAAATAAAGAGAATGTTGAAGAGAGAGGCGGGAGATATTAGAATGGTTGGCGCCTTGGTTTCAATTTTGGTGGAGCGTTTTCCGCTGTGAGTAAACAAATTAAAAGCACGTGATGTCCTTTCTCCCTTTCTCATAATACCTATTCTACCCTTGGAGCCTGCAAATATCTCATTAAAAAATACTAATATTATATTTAATATTACAATAATATTCTTTTATTATTTTAGGTTTGCGTCGAATAAAATTAAAATATTGTTTATATAAAAAGAAACAAAGTCTTAATTATTTTTCCTTTTTTTGCTAATGCGCAGTTATTACATATTTACATATTTGAATTGATCCAATTGTCGACTAATGATATGGTATGTTGTTATTAATACAAAAAATATATATATATATTATGCTAATATTTAAATAACATGACAGAAGGTCTATAAAAACATAGAGTGCTTCAAACAAGATTGCCGCAACCTAATTTTGTTACCAGTTGTATTGAACCTAAAAATAATTGTAAAATGTAAAAAAAAAAAGACAATTAGCCTAATATTTTATTACTTTGTCAGAACAAAAATCAACCAAAAAAAGAAAAAAAATGACACATTGTACCAAGTAATTTACATTGAGTCTTTTAATTAATTTGAGATTTTCTAATATGTCCTTAAGACACGATACAAGAAACATTAGTTATAACAAATTTTATCATAATTAAATATGAAATTGACTAATTATATATAGATTATTACCATATTATATGAAATGCATTAATAATTTTCATAATAAATATATTTTATATTAAAGTATGGTAATATTTGTTGAGAAATTTACAAAAATAGCCAATTTTCTTAATTACTTTGTAGAAAATAGCCAAAAAAACTCTAACATTATAAAAATAACTCAATATCACATATAGATTAAACTCATCTGCAATTTCTCCATTTTTATCTGTGAATGTACAAGTCAGTAAAGCACGGACGCACATTATGAGTTGTACGTTCGTAAATGTTTTTTTTAGTTTTTTTTATTTTTTCCGGTATAAATACCCTCACACATGACTAAAATCGCAGATGAACTTAGTTCATCTGCGATTTCCTCTGAAGTTCATCTGCGATTTTAGGTTTCTTATTTTTTTTAACGAATTTTATCCGTGCTTTAAACACGTGTACTTTCGTAACAAAACAAACAAAAAAAAACAAAAGAAAAACAAAAAACAAAAACAAAATTGTAGATGAACTTCAGAGGAAATCGCAGATGGACTAAGTTCATTTGCGAATTTAGTTATGTATGAGGGTATTTATACCGGAAAAAATCAAAAAAACTAAAAAAAAAAAAAAAAAAAAAACTATCTGCAAACGTACAACTCATAATGCGCGCCCATGTTTTACTGACTTATACATTCGTATATCAAATGGGGAAATCGCAGATGGGCTTAATCCATCTGTGATTTTGATGGTTATTTTTGTAATGTTTGGTTTTTTTGACTATTTTCTAACAAAGTAATTAAGGAAATTGGTTATTTTTGTAATTTTCTCTTATTTGTTATAATTAATGTTTTATATGTGCCCTTACGGCACTTATTAGAAAATCTAAACTAATTTTCGTGCTTTTTTAGGGAATAAAGTTATTTTTGTCGGGTCTAATTGGTCATTTTGGCAAAATAAATAAGTCACCCGGCTACCCATTTGTCACGTAGACTATGACTTAAAAAAAAACATCTATTTGACCAGACTTGTGTCTAGTTTCTCCTCCAAACCCATGACATGATTCGCACCTTCCACCACCTGGTGGTCTTATTCCATCTCTCACAAACCCTTGAAATCGAAGAATAATCGTACCCTTCCTCAAAAAAGGCTTATATATTGTAGCCAACATCGCCATAGACGCTGCTCGTGAAGCTGTTCGGTGTATTTAGGAAGACGAAGAAGACGGTGATACACCAAAACTGATGTTTTTGGATGTTGTTGAGTTTGATATTCTTCATAGGACTTATACCAACAAATAGAAGAAACAAGCATGTACAGTCATACACCAAAACCGATCCTTCAAGATTTTTCGCCCATCTATTTCTTTATGTAGATTGCAAATACAGTCCAAGATCAGCAGCTCTAGGAAGCGTACCTGTAACGCCTCATTCCTGGTACGCATTTAATTATATTTTATTCGCTTTTGTAAATCTACTCGACAAGTTGGAAGCCCCAAACTCGTCGAGTATAAATCATATTTGAAGCGGGATCTTAAGCCACCTACTCGACGAGTTGAGGGTTTTTACTCGACGAGTAGGGATGCCAGGATGAAACCCTAATTTCGGTGTTTTGCACCCTATTTAAGCATCTTAATCCCCACCCCTCAGCTTCATTTACAGCCTCCAAGTCCCAAAACCCTAAGCTACGAAACCCTAGTGCTTGCTTGAGATTGTGAGCCTTTTTTAGTGAACCTTGGGTGTTTTTGAAGCTTGTGGGTGAAGAGAAAGCTAAAAGGCTCAAGAGGGAAAGGGTAGATCCAGAAACTACTCATCATTTGCTACATTTTCGGGTAAGAAAGTCCCAACCTTGCTCAATGGTTTCTTTGATCTTTTCTTTTCATCTTTATGAGGGTTTTTGGTCTAAGTAAGTTAGCATGTGAATAACGGACGAACCAAGTGGGTATTCTTCCAAATCTAGGATCTTGAAGGACTAATATGGCATAAATGTGAAAACTTTATGCCATAGGAGTCCCCATGCAAGCCATATAGTGTTATTTTGGCCTTTTAGCCCAAAAAGGCCATGCATGAAGAGAAATATGGGAGCTTTACGTGCCCAAGTAGTGTTAGGGGCTTAGATTTGTGGTTGTAAGTTCTAGTTTGGTGTATGGATGGCTTAAGGACTAAGTTTTAGGTCCCGAGGAGTTAGGGTTTGAGGTAAACCCATTAAGGATAGGTATTAACGGGAAAAGTTGGAAACTTTACCCTTAAAAGGACATTTTCGGGGTTTATGTGAAGTATGAAGCTTGGATCTGAGGTGTAGGGGCTTAATCCATCAAGTTAGCTAAATAGACAAGGTAACTCGACGAGTCCAGAGGGGGACTCGACGAGTTTAGTCAATTTGTCCCAATTCCGTACCAGGTAGAACTCGACGAGTCTGTGAAGGGACTCGACGAGTTGACTCGGTTTATCACGAATCTGAATAGCATATGAACTCGACGAGTTAGGAGGTAACTCGACGAGTTGGGTCAAACTGGAAGTTGACCTTGACTTTGACTTTGACCAGAGCGTTGACTTTGACAAAGGGTAAAATAGTCATTTTTCCCTTAGAATGATTTTTTGTTTTAACCCGGTGTTTATTGTGAAATTATAGTCGGGGAGTCGTGGGAGCAGCCAGCAGAGATTCCTCATGCGAGATTTCAGCACCTAGTTTGAGATGTGACTTTTCCTCCGGCAGAACGGGTCGAAGGCACCAAGGCCCGCCCGCATATGTATGATTAGTAGCCGAGTGTGGACGGGGCCCGTATCTCACAGTAGCCGAATGTGGGGCGGCGCCCGTATCTCATAGCTTTATTTGAGTATGGATATATATGACTGCTTAACAAATTTAGTTACACTTGTTGTCTGTGTGATACTTGTATGTATGTTTAGTAGCTGAGTGTGGGCGGGGTCTGTATCTCATAGCAGTCGAGTGTGGGCGGGGCCTGTATCTCATAGTAACAGAGTGTGGGCGAGGCCCGTATCTCCTAGTTAGCGGAGTGTAGGCGGGGCCCGTATCTCCATGAGTGTGGGTGGGGCCCATATATCCTAGTTGCATGTATATGTGTATAGTATGTGGTAATTTGGGGAGACTCGCTAAGCTTCGTGCTTACAATTTTTCAGTTTTGGTTTCAGGTACTTCCGATAGCAAAGGGAAGAGCTCGGGATGACTGCATGGCACACACCACAGTTTTCAGCCTGGGATGTTTTAGACTCTGATATTTTGACACAAGGTTTTGACACAGTATTTTGATGTGATGTTTGATATACATGACTTGTGATTTTATTATGTTGTTTGGCGAATTATGGGTTTTTCTTAAATGATTTAAAACGAAAATTTTGGACTATATTTTTGGGATGTTACAATACCCAAATAATATTACATATCTTCTCAAATTCACACACAAAAACACACACACACACTTATTATGGTTCTAATGGGGAAGGGTTTATGATCGAATGGCGAATGAATTAGGACATGGATGGGATGTGTTGTTCTACACGTTTTGATTCTTGAAGACGGTGCTTTTGTTCACCGTGATTGTGTTGATCGGTAATGGATGGTCGTTTTTTAAACCATTCTTACAAGAGAATGAGAAGAAAGCTATAATGATTGTAATCCCACTTACGGTTTTAGGAAACATAACTTCTATAGTAATTGGGGAAATTGTGCCATTCATTCATAATTAGGTAGCACGGAACTAGTTCTTCTTGTTCATAGATCTCATCTAATGTTGCGTCATTATTCTTCCTATCTTCTGGTCGGTTAGTTTGTCGAGGGAGACCTTGAAGACAGATGGAAAAGTTGCTACGAATTTGGCAAAGCTGACTCTTTTTAAGCAGTTTTATGTGCTGGTGATCGAATACTTGTTTTTTCACATACAACCATTTGGGTGTTGCTCAAAGTTTAAAATTGAAGTTGGATATGGGCGGATGAAATCAACGACTATTCACTCGCCTTTCATCACATGTTTGTAACAAGAGAAATCAACAAGGTAAACCTTTTTGAGTCTACTCACGAAGTTGGGAGTAGCTGAGCAGATAACCACCATGACTAAATTAAACCATAGTTGGTTCCATAAATGGATCGGTTGTACTTGGGGGGTGATTTTGAGGGTGAGTCTCTGATTTTTACTTTTAAATGGATTTTGATGCAGGAACAAATGGTATTTTTGACTTTTAAATGAGAAAATGCATATGTTGAACATCAAACTAACTAATATAGGTTAGGAAGACAAAAAATACAGGTCACAACAAAGTTCATTCCCCCATAAAGCATGGAAAATACTTAAGGGACTGAATTAGCAAATATGCAAAACATCGTAAAGCTAATGTGTCGTT